AGATGGGGGAATCTTCAAGTGTTGACAATTTATCATTAAAATATGAATTTTTAGAGATATATGACATGGATGACTTGTTGACTTAGAAGCCACGAATTCCCCAATATGCAAATTTGAATACCTGGAGCCCACATACATGATTGGCTGGCTGGGAAGCTGTGCAGGCCCTGATTTGTGGATTTGAATTCCTCAGCCCTCAGATATGATTGGCTGGCTTAGAAGCCATGAAGGCCCCAATATGCAAATTTGAATGCCTCAGGACACATATATGATTGGCTGGGAAACCGTACAGGCCCTGATTTGAAAATTTGAATGTCTAAGTCCTCACAGAGGATTGGCTGCCTGGGGACCTGGCAGAAATATATAGAAATACTATGATTAAGCATAAATACTACATTTAGTAGAAATACTATGTTTTAGCACAAATATTATAAAAAGCAGAAATACTATAATTTAGCAGAAATACTATATTAAGCACAAATCCTATAAAAAGCAGAAATACTATATTAGGTACAAATCCTATAAAAAGCAGAAATACTATATTAGGCACAAATAGTATAAAAAGCAGAAATACTATAATTTAACAGAAATACTATGTTTGGCACAAATCCTATAAAAATAATAAATACTATAATTTAGCAGAAATACTATATTAGGCACAAATCTTATGAAAAGCAGAAATAGTATCATTTAGCAGAATAGTAATAACTTACAAAATTACAAATATGAAGGCATATTGAAACACAAATGCACAGAGGGACACACAAACACAGGCTCTAATCCAGTCAACCAGTCTAACTATATTCAATTTAAATCCTACAATGACATGCTGCCAAATAAGGGCAGGGTCCTCTCTCTCCCACTAAACACACACACACACACACACAGAGGGAGAGAGCTGCCGAATTTAAATCCACCAATCAGAGTGGCTGTTTACGTTTTCCCGCCAAAACAGGTGCATCTTTTTACACACGCAGGACAGAGAGGCACAGGATTATTGCAGCCTATTTCTCATAGTGAGGACTTCCCTCAAACAAATGACCATAATTTCCTAACCGTAGGGGCTAGAGCGGTCATTCTTACACCGTTTTGTTCAGAAGAGATGGGGGAATCTTCCAGTGTTAACAATTTATCATTAAAATATGAATTATTAAAGATATTAGACTTCTAATGCACCATAACTGAGCAGAGCGAAGCAAAAACTGCCTTGACTTGCCCTCAAACAACGCTTTCTAACTCTAAATCTATTTGGAGTATCGATATCATTCTTTCACCGTAAGAGACAGCAGGCTTTGGTGAACAGTCAGAGAAATTTTCAGGTCTCTGTGGAAATCCAACAAAAAGTTATGACGAGAGAAAAAAGTGGTTCATTTCCACAGTTTGAAATCTGAAGAAATCTGAGCGAAGGACAAATTTCCTACCCTCAAACAAGTCCAACTCATTTCAGAACGGTAATAGGTGAGAAAGAAATTCTTGAATTGTGAGCGTCAGGAGTGTCTGAAGATATACCGGGACAAGCCTCATGTCTTAACTTTGCTTCGTTAAGGAGATATGACGATTCGAATATGCCTCTCATTACAGAAATCCAGCGATGATTTTGAACAAGCTCTCCATTCACTTTATATGGAGAGTTTTCTGACCTTGTGTTAGTCTGAGGAGATTTGCAAAAATTCTATAAATCCCACAACAATGATAGTGACATTTTCTGAAAGCCAGCAAAAATACCTACGTTTTGATGTATGATTTGTGGAAGTTGAGTGAAAATTGAGCAAGTAGCAAGAAGTTGTTCGGACATGAAGTGAAAATTGCAAAACCTTCAGTGACACACTGGAAGCCAAGAGCATAGCAACCATAACAACGCATGTATTTTGTGAAAAATCACAATTTTGCAACTGAAAACTTTAAGAGGCATAAAAGTAAAACGGTAAAAGATTTGAAAAAGCTGAATCATACATGAATAGCCCAATAATTTGTGAACATTTTAAAGTTTGAATGGTTTTTCTAGGCGAAAGTATGAGGAAGTAGTTAAGTTTCAAAAACAAGCAAAATTTAGCAGAATTGCAGAAGTTTTCCATTCATTTCAATGGGACAAATTAAAGGAAAAAAGCTTAATATTTTAAAAAGTATAATAGCAAAAAATAGCAAAAATCATAGCGCAAATTAGCAGAAATAGCAGAATAGTTTAAAGTTTGAACGGTGAAAATAGCACAAAAATTGTGGAAGTAGTTAAAGGACGAAAAATGAGCAACTTGAAGAATAATAATAATAATAAAGAATAAAGAGAAACAGGAACTCAATAGTGTGGATGCTTAAAGCATCCACACAATAACTAGAAAAATTTGCATTTCCTGCGAAAATGCTGTGTGGATGCTTTAAAGCTGAAGCTGTATGCAAAAACTAGCTGAAAAAGCTGAAAATTTGCAGAAATTGTAAAAACTTTGCAGAAGCAAAGGAACTTTGCTAAAATGTAATAATTTAGCAGAACTGCAATATCTTAGAGGAAACATAATACTTGGCAGAAATACAATAGCATAGCAGAACTTAGCAGAAATATTGTAACTTACCAGAAACATGATAACTTCTCAAAAATACAAGACTTTAGGAGAAATAGTATAAGATAACAGAAAGAATATATTTAGCCAAAAATACTTGAACATTACAGAAACACTATGATTTAGAAAAATAGTACAACATAGTAGAAATACTGTGATTTACCAGAGACACTGTGATGAAGTATGAATATTGTAATTTTAAATTAATACTATGTTTTAGCACAAATAGTATCATTTGGCAGAAATACTATATTAAGCACAAATCCTATAAAAAGCACAAATAGTATGATTAAGCATAAATACTACATTTAGTAGAAATACTATGTTTTAGCACAAATATTATAAAAAGAAGAAATACTATATTAAGCACAAATCCTATAAAAAGCACAAATACTATATTAAGCACAAATCTTATAAAAAGCACAAATACTATATTAAGCAATATAAATATCCCATAAAAATCCTTTAAAAAGCAAAAATACTGTACTATGATTTGGTAGAAAAACTATAATTAATCAGAAATACTATATTTAGCACAAATCTTATAAAATAGCAGAACTAGTAATAACTTAAACAGAAAAATTGGAAAAGCAAAATGGACAGCTGATTTTTGCAGTCTATTTCTCGTAGTGCGGACTCCCCTCAAACAAATGGCCGTAATTTCCTAACCGTAGAGGCTAGAACGGTCATTCTTAGACCATTTTGTTCAGAAGAGATGGGGGAATCTTCCAGTGTTGACAATTTATCATTAAAATCTGAATTATTAAAGATATTTGACTTGTAATGCACCATAACTGAGTAGAGGCGAAGCAAAAACTGCCTTGACTTGCCCTCAAACAACGCTTTCTAACTCTAAATCTATTTGGAGTATCAATATCATTCTTTCACCGTAAGAGACAGCAGGCTTTGGTGAACAGTCATGGAAATTTTCAGGTCTCTGTGGAAATCCAACAAAAAGTTATGACAAGAGAAAAAAGTGGTTCATTTCCAGAGTTTGAAATCTGAGCGAAGGACAAATTTCCTACCCTCAAACAAGTCTAACTCATTTCAGAACGGTAATAGGTGAGAAAGAAATTCTTGAATTGTGAGCGTCAGGAGTGTCTGAAGATATACTGGGACAAGCCTCATGTCTTAAGTTTGTTTCGTTAAGGAGATATGACGATTCGAATATGCCTCTCATTACAGAAATCAAGCGGTGATTTTGAACAAACTCTCCATTGACTTTCTATGGAGAGTTTTCCGACTTTGTGTTGGTCTGAGGAGATTTGCAAAGATCCTATAAGTCCCACAACAATGATAGTGACATTTCCTGAAAGCCAGCAAAAATACCTACATTTTGATGTATAATTTGTGGAAGTTGAGTGAAAATTGAGCAAGTAGCAAGAAGTTGTTCGGACATGAAGAGAAAACTGCAAAACCTTCAGTGGCACACTGGAAGCCAAGAGTATAGCAACCATAACAACGCATGTATTTTGTGAAAAATCACAATTTGGCAACTCAAAACTTTAAGAGGAATAAAAGTAAAACGGTAAAAGCTTTGAAAAAGCTGATTTATACCTGAATAGCCCAATAATTTGAGAACATTTTAAAGTTTGAATGGTTGTTCTACGTGAAAATATGAGGAAGTAGTTAAGTTTCAAAAACAAGCAAATTTTAGCAGAATTGCAGAAGTTTCCCATTCATTTCAAATTAAAGGAAAAAAGCTTAATATTTTAAAAAGTATAATAGTGAAAAATACCAAAAGATATAGCCATCATTAACAGAAATAGCAGAATAGTTTAAAATTTGAACGGTGAAAATAGCACAAAAATTGTGGAAGTAGATCCACGGCGAAAAGTGTACGGAAACACCAAGAAGGAACTCAATAGTGTGGATGCTTAAAGCATCCACACAATAAAGAATAAAGAGAAACAGGAACTCAATAGTGTGGATGCTTAATGCATCCACACAATAAAGAGAAACAGGAACTCAATAGTGTGGATGCTTAAAGCATCCACACAACTAAGAAAATTACACATTACATATGCTTAATAACGTTTTGAAGTTAAGACTATTAGCAAAGTAGGATATTGACTAGATATTTACCTGAATCAGAGAACTGTGACACGTAATTGCTCCTCTGAGTTAAGCAAAACCTCTATCATTAATACTATCTCCATCATTATCTAACAGTAGGCTGCAATGCTCTCAAGTTTTCCAATTTTCAAGTTTACAACACTACATTTAATTCGTCTTAAATCTTTTAAATTTTTCTCACGTGCAGTTGTGTTTATGATTTTGCAGGTGATTAAAATGATACGTGGCTGCGCTGACTCTTTACACACCAAATGTGTTTGAGGATGGGTTTAGCAAACTAAATATACCCTCTGCAAAAATAAAATTGTGGAAAAAAACACCACAAAAGAAGGAATATCAGTAGCACAATTTGAAGTTGTTGTATACTTGGGTTTATATGTCTGAACTCACCGCTGTCCACCATGTTCCCGGGTTGTCCAGGCCACAGTTGTCGCTGTACTCCAGGCAGCAGGAGTCTGGCACGCGGCTGGCGTTGTAAACCTCAAACCAGTCTGTGTGGTTGGTCACTCCACAGCAACGAAACTGCGCCGGGAGAAAAACAATGAGCCTTCAGAGTCTGATCTTTTGTTATCATCACACTGAAATCCTAATTCACGGCAAAAGAAATATACATCCTCCAGTGATGGGCACGAAAGCTGTTTACCTCGCACGAATTAAAATTCCTTGGGTAAAATAACCGATATGTGCTGAGCATATAAAACACCTCATCTGCCTGATATTGAGCTGTAGCCGTCTCAAAGCCTTAAAATAACTTTCTAACTCGCCCCACTTTTCTTTTAAATAAATATTTCCCCGCTTTGAGATTGGTATAGATTTTTTTTATATAAGGCATCGTGGCTTTCACCACAATTCATTTCATCAGTGTAGTTGAAAAGATTAAATGCCTCTGAAAGAGATTTTTTTTTTTCATCTGGTGGACTTAAATTCCACAGGGGAATAATGCTGTCTGCGTGGGCACAGTTGGGGATTTTGTGTTAATTTAAAACTTACTCACTTCCTTAAACAATGGAAGCACTAACATGAGGTACTACAGAATTCAAATCACCAGAGAGAGCTGGGAAATAAAGATGTAAACTTCGGTCAGAACACACAGTCAGAATATTCAGATGTTATCACCTTGGAAAGTTAACGACCAAATGTGCGCAGCCAGTACAGATTTATTATACCGAGGATTCATTTAGTGCCTTTTGGAGCTCTTTCCTGCTCTGTCTAAGGTAGATCTACGTCTACATGCATGCATACATAGCTCCATAGGTGGCCATTAATAATATTCAGGGTGAACTTTGCTCCAGGGACATCTGCTGCATTATCCATTCAGTGAGTCAGCATATATGTAAGAGGCTTGGGAGGGAGTGACAGAATGAGAGCTGCCGTATAATGATCTTCATCTCAGCCAGACTCTGTGGAGACCCATACATACACACAGCGGCTGATCTGACAAAGGTGTGTGTGGGGGGAAATGCACGTTCACGCTCGTGCTCTAGCATTTTCAGGCAGCGGTTCATTCAGGCAGATTCTTCTTATGGCATGATCCAGCGTGCAGGAAGAAAATCAAATGTGCGCATTTACACCTACACGTATAAACACACCTGGATTTGCATACAGTATTTGCATAGCAATAGATTTCTTTGTCATCATTTATGTCTTATCAGTCACCACGCACACACACATTCACAGGTAAACACGCACTAGACACACGTATACACACCAACACAGAGCAGAGCCAAACAACCAGCATGCACCGCACATTTACTAATGGTACAAAACTACAAGCCATAACACAGGATCTGTGATGTAAAAAAAAGAAGGTCCAAAGAGCCCCTAAGTCTGCGATCTATCATTTGATGTCTCCCAAACGCATTTTCTAACAGCAGCATCCGTCCTCTGCAATCCTTAATTCCAAATCTGTGTTTTTCACATTGTGTTTTCTTTGGAGAGATATATAGAGGAAGAAAACACATATATATATAAATATTGCAACAGGAAAATGCACATCAAAGTGAGAGCTGGAGACAAAGATTACCTCCGAGAGTCTATGATGTTTGCATTAATCTCTCTGAAAACATTTTACCACAGCATTTAAACCAGGAACGCTTTAAGTGTTTATTACTGTCAGTAGAGTCATTTCAAGACACGTCTTCTGGTGCCATTTCTCAGATTGGTGGTGTTTCTTTTATTAGCCGACTTATAAATGTCCAGATCCTATTAACGGCTTGTAAGGAAGAGGACTCCCTTACTGCATTTATTTATATTGTATTGTCTGTATAGCACTTTAGAGCACACCTTTCACTTTATTAAAAGCACCTTATCAAGCAATTTATGAGCATTGCACTTTAAGCATGGATTTGCACACAAGAAGTTTAAATATTTATTGTCTATTTATTGGGAATTTTAAAATCAGTTGGTAGCCTTATTTCAGATCCTGCACAGCTGCTCCTCGTCAAGGAATGTGGTGGTTGTCTGTCAGGAGAGAAGAATGGTGATTGAGATTGTGATTAAGGTTTACCAATAAGGAAAACTAATGCAAATGTGTGTGTGAAATCTAGGGAAAAGTGTTGCAAATAAGTGTTTGTAAGTTAATGATTACTCACCTTTCTTGCCTGTGTCCTCTTCAAGGTGTTTGGGCAAATGTTTCCCCGGGGGTCCAGACACCATTTAAAGGTTCCGGGAGAGACCATTGGTAAAGAGAGTGTGGTGAATCTTTTTGTGCTTGGGTTTCTGGGTTTTTATAATATTGGGTTTTGTGTAACATTAAAGTGTGAAATATTTATTAATATGTAAATGTAAAGATGCATTTATGTATTTATTTATTCTTATTGATATATTGTATACTGTGGGGAAGGTTGGGATTTAAGAATTTACCTGAGAGTGGAATAATGGTTAAGTCTGTGACAGCTGAACATATTTAAGGCTGCCAGTTGTCATTAGGGGATTTTTGTGCTGTGAAGAAGCTCGACAAGTTAATTGTTGTAAGGAGAGCCATAGAGCAAATAAATACTTTGTTCCACTACACTTGCCTTGGTCTGTCTCACTGTGTTTCCAGCCGCTAAGGGCTGCCCTGTTACAAGTGGTGTCAGAAGTGTGTCACTCATGCCACAGTGAGAAGATGATACAAGAGGTGGAAGAAAGCCAGGCCAAGAGGAGCAGCCTGATGAAGGAGTTGGAGCTTCATCTGAGCTAGAGGCCATGGCAGCAACAAGCCCTGAGGACAAATTGGAGGAGTTAACAGGGTTGGTGAAATCTCTTATGCGGTCTCAAGCAGCCAGAGACCAAAAGTGGGAGAAGGATTTGTCACGTCAGGAGCAAAGGTGGAAAGGCATGCAGCATCAATTTCAGCAAATCCAGCTACAAGTTAACGCTGTAACTGATAAGCCTGACCCACCAGAGGCGCCAGCGCCCCCTACAACATCTGAAGAACAAGAACTTGGATTCAATGGTGAAGACATTCCAGTGGCCAGTGGGTCCAGGTCTTTAATTGAACCAAAACTTTTTCCTCTGTCAACAGAAGATGACATTGAACATTTTCTGACTACGTTTGAAAGAATGGCAAACGTGTGTCGATGGCCCAGAGATGAGTGGGCTATTCGTCTGGTTCCCCTGTTGACAGGTAAAGCCCGCACAGCCTACATTCTTATGGATTTAACAGACTCTGAGAATTATGATAAGGTGAAAGAGGAAATTCTGGCAAAATATGAGATCACTGCTGACACCTACAGACGCCGCTTCAGATCTCTGAAAGTTGAGCCAGGTGAGACGCCACGTGAACTTTATGTAAGATTGAAAGACCTGTTTTCAAGATGGATTAAACCTGAAAAATCAACTGTAGAAGAAATATCTGAGCAGATAATTCTGGAGCAGTTTTTGAGAATGGTTAATCCAGAGCTGGAGATTTGGATACGTGAGCATGACCCGAAGACTGCAAAGGAAGCAGCTAGCCTCGCAGAGGTTTTCACTTCAGCCAGAAAAGGAAGCAAGAGCACCTACTTCAGCCGGGAGACCCACTACGCCCAACCAAGTAAGTCCATTGGGGGTGAACAGGGTTCTGGTCAAGTTCAGGCTAGAAATCTTTCTAGTTCTAGGCAGCTCCCTTCCCATAGACCTCACAATGTGAAGAAATCCTTTAAGTCTTCAGTTCAGGATATTAAATGTTATCACTGTCATAACTTTGGCCATACACAACAATTTTGCCCTGCACTTAAGTCAAAACCATCTCTTTTGTGTGCAGTTCCAAGACCAGCCACAGAGCCGGTAGGAAAGAAAGCTTGTACTGTCCCTGTTTTAATTAATGGGCGTAAAGAGGAAGCTTTGCTTGACTCTGGGTGCTTTCAGACTCTTGTACACTCTAGCATAATTTCAGGAGAAAAGCTAAGTGGGGTTGGGGCTACAATAAGTTGTGTGCATGGAGACGAACACAGGTACCCCACTGCTGAGGTTTACCTGACAGTAGGAGGTCAAACCTACTTGTTAGTGGTAGCTGTGGTTCCCAGTTTGCCATATTCAGTGATACTTGGTAATGACATCCCCACTCTTTTTGATCTAATACACCAGTCAGATTATGACCCTCAAGTGAGTGCTGAGAAAGACATTCAAGGCTTAGGTGATGAATCTGGAAGCTCACTTCCTCTAGAGATGACAGTTGAACCATTTAAACCCTGTCATGTAGTCACAAGAGCACAAAGTGCAAAGGAAAGGATGCAAGAACTACCCTTTTTTGAGGAGTCTCTCGAAACGGAGCCAGGGAAGATTAGGAAGTCTAGGGCTCAGAAAAGAAGAGAAAAGTTCAAAGGCTCAGGGGAAAAAGGTATAGCATTGTTCCCTAAGCCAAATAACCAACTTGAGTTTGATGTTCCCTCAGATTTAGGTGCACTCCAAAGAAGCGACCCTACTCTAAAACCCTGGTTTGAGAAGGTAACAGAGGTAGAGGGGGTTAGTCAAGGTCAGGTAAGCTGTCTTGCAGACACTGTTTACTTGATTAAAGGAGGCATCTTGTACCAGAGAAAGGGGAAGTGCGAAGCTGTGGCACTCCCACAACAGTTCAGAGACAAAGTTATGGATTTGGGTCATTCAATTCCATGGGCAGGTCATATGGCTTTTCACAAAACACTGAATAGGATCAGCAGCCGTTTTGTTTGGCCAGGGATGTATGTCCAGGTTTCTGAGTTTTGCCGTTCCTGTGAAAAATGTCAGTTGACCTCAGGCAAAGGAGTAGCGCGAGCCCAGTTGCAACCACTGCCAATTATTGAAACACCATTTGAGAGGCTAGGCATGGATATTGTGGGCCCTTTAGAGAGGAGCTCCACAGGTCATCGCTACATATTAGTCATATGTGACTATGCAACACGGTTTCCTGAGGCCTTCCCACTCAGATCAATTAAAGCTCGTCACATTGCTAATTGTCTTCTGCAGCTTTTCTCTAGGGTAGGCATACCAAGAGAAATTCTGACGGACTGTGGAACGAACTTTCTATCAAAGTTGTTGCAGCAGGTTTATAAGCTGTTAGGGATAAAGGGACTTAAGACCACCCCGTATCACCCCCAAACGGACGGGCTAGTGGAGAGATACAACCAGACTCTCAAAAGTATGCTGCGCGAGTGTGTGTCTGACACAGGTGCTGACTGGGATCAATGGCTGCCCTACCTTCTGTTTGCCTACCGGGAGGTCCCGCAGGTTTCCACTGGCTTCTCGCCTTTTGAACTTTTATATGGTCACCAAGTGAGAGGCCCCCTGGATCTGCTTAAGGACTGCTGGGAGGAATCCAAAGCAGAAGGCGAAAACATCGCAGCCTACGTCATCACCATGAGAGAGAGGTTGGAGAAAATGGCATCATTGATGCAAGACAACATGAAAGCTGCACAAAAACATCAAAAGACTTGGTATGATCAGAAGGCCAGGGATAGGGTCTTCCTTCCAGGTCAGAAAGTACTGTTATTGCTTCCCACCAGCGATAACAAGTTGCTGACAAAATGGCATGGACCATACGAGATCGTCAGACAAGTGAGTAAAGTCACTTATGAGCTGAATATGCCAGAAAGGGTTAAAAAATATCAGACATTTCACGTGAACTTGTTGAAGGAATTCCACAGCCGACAAGAGCCGGTCTATCAGTTACTGGTGCGTTCGGTTAAGGATGAGGAGGTGACTGAGAAGTTCTTTCCAACTAACATTCAAGTTTGTGCTTCAGTTGACCTTTCTCATTTGTCTCCTACTGAGCAGGCTGATATAAAACCACTCGTGGACCCACAGCTCTTTCGAGAAAAACCAGGCTTCACATCACTGGTTCAGCATAAGATACGGGTGAAGGAGGATGCACCCGTTCGACAAAAGAGTTACAGAATTCCTGAACGGTTGGTGCCAGTGCTGCAGAAAGAAATAAAACTGATGTTGGACCTGGGAATCATTGAGGTGTCAAGTAGTGAGTGGTGCAGCCCGATTGTTTTGGTACCAAAGAAAGATGACACCCTGAGATTCTGTATTGATTTCAGATATTTGAATGCAGTATCCAAGTTTGATCCCTACCCAATGCCCAGGGTGGATGACCTGCTGGAGAGAGTTGGATCAGCAACGTACATTACAACACTTGATCTGTGTAAAGGATACTGGCAAGTGGCTTTGGCACCAGAAGCAAGAGAGCTGACAGCCTTCAAAACTCCGTTTGGTATGTACCAATTTAAAGTCATGCCATTTGGTCTTCAAGGTGCACCAGCGACATTCCAACGATTAATGGACCATGTACTGAGAGATGTGTCAGCATTCTCTGCAGCATATCTGGATGACGTGGTGGTGTACAGCCAGTCCTGGGAAGCGCATGTCATTCACCTACAGAAGGTGCTACACTCCATCAGAATGGCTGGACTGACTATCAATCCCAAGAAGTGCTCCATAGCCAAGAGAGAAGTGGAGTACTTGGGCTGTGTAGTTGGCTCTGGGAAGATTGAAGCAATTCAGTCCTTCCCAGTTCCGACAACTAAAAGGAAGGTGAGAGGTTTTCTGGGTCTAGTAGGCTGGTACCGGAAATTCATACCTTCTTTTGCAGAGCGATCCACTGTACTTAATAACCTCACAAAAGGCTCAGCCCCTAACAAAGTGCGTTGGACGGAAGACTGTGAGCGAGCATTCAGAGACCTCAAGGAAGCAGTTTCCACACATCCAGTTCTACACAGTCCAGACTTCAACAAGCCATTCATCTTGCAAACTGATGCTTCGGGAGTTGGCCTTGGTGCTGTCCTTCAGCAAGAGGTGGATGGTGAAAGAAGGCCTGTGGTGTTTCTGAGTCGGAAACTACTCGACAGGGAGACGAGGTACTCGACGGTGGAGAAAGAGTGCTTGGCCATGAAATGGGCTATTGAGGCCTTGAGGTATTATCTTCTGGGACGTCACTTCACTCTGGAGACTGATCATCGTGCCCTCCAGTGGTTGAACCGCATGAGGGATGCGAATGCCCGCATTGCAGGATGGTACCTGTCTCTGCAGCCTTATGACTTTACGGTCCAGTATAGGCCGGGGAAGTCAAATGTGGTTGCTGATTGTTTATCTAGGATGACAGAGGACTGAAGCACTTCGCGCTTAAGAGAGGGAGGAGGAAATGTAAGGAAGAGGACTCCCTTACTGCATTTATTTATATTGTATTGTCTGTATAGCACTTTAGAGCACACCTTTCACTTTATTAAAAGCACCTTATCAAGCAATTTATGAGCATTGCACTTTAAGCATGGATTTGCACACAAGAAGTTTAAATATTTATTGTCTATTTATTGGGAATTTTAAAATCAGTTGGTAGCCTTATTTCAGATCCTGCACAGCTGCTCCTCGTCAAGGAATGTGGTGGTTGTCTGTCAGGAGAGAAGAATGGTGATTGAGATTGTGATTAAGGTTTACCAATAAGGAAAACTAAGGCAAATGTGTGTGTGAAATCTAGGGAAAAGTGTTGCAAATAAGTGTTTGTAAGTTAATGATTACTCACCTTTCTTGCCTGTGTCCTCTTCAAGGTGTTTGGGCAAATGTTTCCCCGGGGGTCCAGACACCATTTAAAGGTTCCGGGAGAGACCATTGGTAAAGAGTGTGGTGAATCTTTTTGTGCTTGGGTTTCTGGGTTTTTATAATATTGGGTTTTGTGTAACATTAAAGTGTGAAATATTTATTAATATGTAAATGTGAAGATGTATTTATGTATTTATTTATTCTTATTGATATATTGTATACTGTGGTGGAAGGTTGGGATTTAAGAATTTACCTGAGAGTGGAATAATGGTTAAGTCTGTGACAGCTGAACATATTTAAGGCTGCCAGTTGTCATTAGGGGATTTTTGTGCTGTGAAGAAGCTCGACAAGTTAATTGTTGTAAGGAGAGCCATAGAGCAAATAAATACTTTGTTCCACTACACTTGCCTTGGTCTGTCTCACTGTGTTTCCAGCCGCTAAGGGCTGCCCTGTTACACGGCTAAAAGGATTGCAGTATTTTATTCGTATATTACCCTGAAAGGAGAAATGTAAAACGAAATGGTGTTTCCGCATTTCACTATTCACTTATAATTTAACGTGATCCCAGTGGCACAAAACCCCCCCCAAAACAAGAAAAAGAGACAGTGAAACTCTTCCAATAGCAAAGATGCAATGTACTATAACAATGAATAATGCAGTCAAAATGTCACAGATTCAAGCTTGTGTTGTTGTATTTACTATTATCGGCACAGTTATAATATTTCTTTTAAAGCAGTTAAATCTAAAATAGATGCATCCCAAAGCATCGCCTACTCCCTCCGGTGATCTCACAACTTACATCAGTTTGTACTATCATCCAGGCGTTGGTCAAACCCACGTTGCCCTCTGTGCCAAAGAGCTGCAGACCCTTCTTCAGATCTCTTTGGGCGTAGTGGTCAATCTGAGAACACAGGACAGGAAACGCGGTTATTTAAGGCAGGACAACAGGACAATTTACTTTAACAAAACTACTTTTTGCTACTGTGTGGGTGAGATGTTATAAAGGACATCTTCTCTATACATTTCAGAGCAGCTGGTTTCCATTTTCATCAGCGGAGGACAAATGTGATTTAAACTCAAGTGGCAACAAATAACCACAGACTCAGTTCTCATTTGGGAAAAGCACAATCTGTCAGGAGTGAACCAGAACAGTGTTTTTGATACCATATATTTTGATTTTGACTTGACGAAAGACAGTACTAAAATGTTTTTTATGAATATATATTGTTCTATTGTTTATCGCAGGTTTTCTATAATTAAACATACTTAAAATAGAGAAGAGAAGAAATTGCTCCGTTCTTTCATCAATGCATGAATGTGTCTTTGTCCCACTTATAAAGGCAGCAAGTATAGTAAAATAACACAGCTATAATTAGCAATCCACCCACATACATACATACTGAAAGCTTACAGCACGGAAATACTCAGTTCATCCTCAGCTACTGCGTATGTGAGTGGTGTGGTAAAATTACACATAAGGCGTCCTTTGGTATTGTAAAGTAAAACCCTTAATAAATGGGAAGGATTACTGGTGTGAAGTTATGCATTTTAACCTAAACCGCAATGTTTTTCCAAACCAAACACCGGACCTAAACTTAATCAGCTGATTAAAGCTACTTAGATTTAGGTTTAGATTCTCAAACAAGATAAGAATCATTGTTTTCTAGGTGATAAACCTGCAACGCCTATCACTCCTCCAACCTAATGTGGACTTAAAAAGGTCTACAAAAGGGGGGTATTATCTTATCAACCAATATTTCCATGGTTGTACCTTCTGGCATCAGTGCCAACAAACACCTTGGAGTGAGAAAAAAAGGTAATATTTAATAGGATGAAAACACATTGTCTAAAACTACTGACTGGTACTGACTGGGGGGTTATTGAATGTCAAGAAAAAGCTGTACTGTTTTAAAGAGTTTCATTTGAAGGCAAAAAGAGTGCTGTGCTCACAAGTTAAACTTAAACATCTGCCTACGACGTAGCCTACAAAAGGGGTCAACAGTACGCCGCAGCTTATGAATGACTGACTCTTCACTGATGACCACAGGTTACGTTATGAGCCAAGATAGCTACCATCTGCGAAGGATTCAGTCATATTTTCCTCGTCCCAACCTGCCACACCTGCGTAACTCGTGCCTTTTGCTTTCTGTATGACAGTTTGAAGTAGAAAGTAGGAGGTTAATTTGGTTAATTTTCTACATGGATCACCCCTGTTGTATTTTGGTATGCTTGCTTTGTTTCTTTGTTTTTGCATGAGCCCCTAGACTGTCAAAAAAAGTTAGATTTAGGCACTAAAAAGTACTTGTTTAATTTTAAGAAATCATTGTGATTTAGCTTCAAATTTGTCACAACATTAACTATTTGTGAAAAAAATTGTCACGACAACCATCCATCAGTCATCTTAAACGATGGTGCCAGCAGGCTAAGCAGGGTATTCCAGAAGTCGTTCTCCACAGCAATACTTTCTGAGGCATTCCCAGATGAGGCATATAATCATCTGGCCTGGAGGGAGGCACATCCAAAGGGAGACTCTAGCACTTCACCTGAACTGGCTCCTTTCGACATGGATGAGCAGCACCTCGACTCTGAGGTCTCTCCAGATGTACTTATCAGCCTATCTCTAAGGCTAAGCCGAGTCACACTAGAGAATAATTTGCTCAAGATTTTTTTTTTGGTGAGCATCAGACCGTTGATGACTGATAAATCAAGAACTTTGTCTCTTAGCTTAGCTCCATTTTTAGTCTGCATGTCTCTCTGTCCCAACCCAATGGAGAACTCCACTGTTTTGCAGCAGAGAAAAACATTGGCATGCTACTGCAAGTAAGAACCACCAAACTAATGCTGTAACTTCATTATTTTTGATATGAGAGGATAGCTGGTGCACATCTCTGAGACACCAGTGGCTGTAGTGGCTGTAGTTTCTGAGACCGCTGGAATGATCCCACTTGTTTTCTAGTCTTGTTTGTTCACTATATTGATTGGACTGATTAAAGTGGTTAAACTGCTGCATGGTTAAAGGAAAAACATGATAGGAAATTATAGTTTATGGAAGACCGGTGTTGGTAGTTGCATGCTTTGAAGGAATATCACCACTAAACATCGTTTGGATACATGAACTTTGAGCACTGAGCTGCTGCAGTCAGATCCTCACTCTCAGGCTATATTCCACACCACTTTTCACATGATATTAAAAGTGATAAACTGTGGTCAGCAGTGAGAGGACTAGATTGGATTTGGACGGCAGACCACTGAGCTGGTGTTCGGTAAACAGGCTCCGTGCGGGTTTAGTTTAGAAGGTCTGGCTTAGCAGAGTGAACCTAAACAAACAAGATAAAAACCCTGAACAAAATCAGCTTTTGCAGTGAGCTTTGAATCAAGAGAAAACAAACTGGGGGCGTGAACACAGTCACAGAGGTAAACATGATTAAATACCCTCAAGCCTTTGAAGTTCATAAAATCTGAAGAAAAAAGAGAGCATGTGCGCTATACACACTGCGGGCAAACAAAAACTCCAAAGCCGCTCAGCCTTATTTACACATTTAGATGGTGGACCCCATCAAACATCAATCACATTGATCTCCACTGACCTCGTGCTTTCCTACACAGTAGCCTTTTAGCATCTGCTTTGCTCCAGACACATAACCCTTACATCAAGCCTGACTCAAAGCACTCTCAGTAAATCTGTCACACACAGCTTTGTGTGGGGGTGGTGAGTATATACCAAATCCCCGAGTGCCAACAAGATACTTTACCAAAAATAATTACTTTCTTTTTTTTTTAAAATTAATTTATTTTTTAATATTATTTTCAAGTGAGCGCTGCACTCACAAATAGTCCCAGCTGTTTCTTGGTATGATCTTTTGGACCCCTTAACACATAACCATTATCTGTTACCATGGGGACAACAATCACAGAAGTGAAGTGCATTTTTATAATACTTAAAATTGTGACATCTTCACAAATTAAATGGGGAAAGCAGCCCCTCCTGCTCCTGTCATGCAGTAAACTGCATCTTTTTTTTTGTTTTTTGGAATCTGCATTATGTTGTGTGGCAGAACTTAACTGGAAACGTTTGGTTTCACAACATGCGTTTTCCATCTGGCCTCTCTCATTCAGCCAGCATTCGATGTGTCCTCATCAGACAAGTGAACTTTACTGCTGACCTCTCATACAAGTGGAAATCTCAGAAAAAGAGAACAGCAAACCAACAGAGAAAAACAGAGTAAACCTTTACATTTAACATTTTACCCCTGCAGAGCACACAGGATGCCCTAGTTCTGAGAAGTAGTAACAGAAGACCTCAAAAGACACTACCAGAAAGGAACTGCTCCTTCTAACTCAATAAGCTAAGAATTGCTCTGAAAGTACAAAAGTATTAAAAGCGAAACAGGGACACTAGGAAGGAGAAAATCTAGCAACAATCTGACAAACCTAAAGGCCTGAATTATTGTTGCCTCTAAATAATTCTGTTTCTAGGCCTCCTGATTTATTCTACTTTATCATTTATTTGGAGAGGACAGAGAAACGCCTGTTTCACGTAGTTCAAATGAATCAAATTTCTCCCTTTATTTTTTGCCCTGCTTTGGTCTCCTCCAAACCTCTATGTAACATGAGCATTTTGAGGCTACGATGTTTGACTTCCTGGTAGCAGATACCACACTGTTCTTTTGGATTTTTGCAGCATTTCTTGAAGACCACAGCTTTCAGTTGATGATAAGAAAATAACAGAATGATTCACACGGCAACAAAAATGAAAAGTGGGAACAGTTATAAGCAAAAGAAAAAGACACAAAATAACATATTTTAAAAAAAGGAATAAACGGCTTATATTTCACAGGGATAAAGACATAAAAAATACACAATGGACATCAGTCGCGCCTTCTTCGAGGTGTAGTGATACAAATATACCAACAGACCAATTATAGCTTCGCTCACCACAGGTGTGCAATAATATTTACATCAATCATTTTCTTTAGTTTCCAGGGTCAATGGTCCGTTTCTCTAGCCTTTAAGCGCGTCACCCAGGAAGTACATAGTAGTTTTTTTTAAAATACTAATATTCACATACTAAGAAATACTACCAAAAAACAAGAATTAGAGCAAAATTTGTAATATATAAGTACCAACAGTGTTGTCTTCACCTCCTCCAGTTGACCCACAACTTTACACAGCACCACTGCAGATGTCAGACAGTAAAAAACACATTGCAGAAAAATCTTAAACCTGCATTTTATCTTAAAAAAGCATGGTAGAAACCATTGATGTAGGCTCATGTCTTCAAAACTGGGTGATATAACGATAGCAACATCGACCTTTGATACCATCTATGGGTATGTATGATGCAGCTAGGCAGCAAACGTTATCAGTCCTGCTAATCTGTAACAGACAGCGTTTATTTATCAGGATAACAAAAGAATTTGTGTCTAAAAACATCAGGATTCGCTTAAAGTCCCAGTCTGAATCTGAGAAAGGTCTGCCAGCAACTAGGCCCGTCTTACCCGCTCTGTTTGATCAGCAATAAAAATAAGAAGCCTATTCACCAGAAGCACAGCACTACCTCTGACAAGCTTACAATATTGTTGTCTATTCTGTTTTTCATTTCGCGTACTCTCTAAGAGAATACCTGCCATATATACTGTGTGTATATACACACCTTACAGTATTGTTACTGCATTTTTCGATAAAAAATCATCAAAATGACAAAAACAGCAACTCCAACTGTACCAAGTTGCTAACAATAAATGCTCTGATAACCAGAAGCGATGAAGTAAGAAAACATTAAGAATGTGAACAAAGGAGTTCAGTGAGATGTGCCACTTAAAATGACTGATTCTCTTATTTCTGATTTATTTTTTTTGAACAGGCAGTTTCCTAATATTGTTCATTTGGGTGTTTCCTTAA